GAACGCAAACTTGTGAAGCCATTCTGGAAAACAGTGTGGAGGTTCCTCAAAAAAATTAAAAATAGAACTATCCTACGACCCACCAATAGCACTACTAGGAATTTACTCAAGGGATACAGGAGTGCTGATGCATAGGGGCACATGTACCCCAATGTTTACAGCAGTGCTTTCAACAATAGCCAAATCATGGAAAGAGCCTAAATGTCCATCAACCGACAAGGATCAAGAAGATGTGGTTTATCTATACAATGGAATACTACATGGCAATGAGAAAGAATAAAATCATGCCATTTGCAGCAACATGGATGGAACCGGAAGGTATTATGCTAAGTGAAATAAGTCAGTCAGAGAAAGACAGATATCATATGTTTTCACTCATATGTGGGACTTGAGAAACTTAACAGAAGACCATGGGGGAAGGGAAAGGGAAAAATAGTTACAAACAGAGAGGAAGGGAGGCAAACCATAAGAGACTCTTAAATACAGAGAAAAAACTGAGGTCCATGGGGGATGGTGCAGGAGAGGGGGAAAAGGGTGATGGACACTGAGGAGGGCACTTGTTGGGATGAGGACTGGGTGTTCCCTAGGCAAGGGCAACAGAAAGAAAACTAAACAAATGGGACTTTGTCAAACTAAAAAGCTTTTGGACAAATCCATCAACAAAAGAAAAGGCAACTTACTGAATTGGAGAAGATATTTGAAAATGATGTATCTGATGAGGGGTTAATATCCAAGATATATAGAAAACCTATACAACTCAACATTAAAAAAAAAAAAAACAATGAAAAAATGAGCAGAGGAGGGAGGTGAAGAGGCATTCTCCAAAAATGGCAAACAGATGAAAAGCCAACCCATGAAATGATGCTCAACATCACTAGGGAACATAACCAGGGAAATGCAAATCAAAGCTACACTAAGATATTACCTCACACCAATCAGAATGGTTAGTATCAAAAGGACAAGAAATAACAAATGTTGCTATGAATGTAGAAAACCAGGAGCCTACATGTCTGTTGGTGGGAAGGTAATATTGTGCAGCCATTATGGAAAACAGTATGGCGGTTCCTTGAAAAATTAAAAATAGAGCTACCATACAACCCAGCAATTCCATCTCAGATTTTATCAGAAGAAAATGAAAACACTGAGTCAAATAGCACGCTAAGTTCATTGCTGCACTGTTTACAATAGACAAGGTACGAAGCAGTCTAAGTGGCCATCAATACAGGAATAAACTTTTTAAAAGTCATATGTTTGGGGCGCCTGGGTGGCTTAGTTGGTTAAGCGTCCGACTTTCGCTTAGGTCATGATCTCGCGGTTCGTGGGTTCGGGCCCCGCGTCGGGCTCTGTGCTGCCAGCTCAGAGCCTGGAGCCTGTTTCAGTCTGTGACTCCTTCTATCTCTGACCCTCCCCTGCTCACGCTGTGTCTCTCTCTCTCTCCTAGAAATAAATAAAACATTTAAAATAAAAAATAAAAAAATAAAAGTCATATGTTAAAAAAAGTAATATGTACACAATGGAATATTACTCGGCCATAAAAAGAATGAAATCTTGCCATTCGCAACAACATGGATGGACTTGACAGCATTATGTTAAGTGATATAAGTCAGACAGAGGACAAATACCATATGATTTCACTTATAGGCGGAATCTAAAAAACAAGGCAAGTGAACATATAAAACAAAACAGAAACAGACTCTTAGGTATAGAGAACAAACTGGGGGTTGCCGGGGAGGGGGCATAGGGAAGAGATTAAACAGGTGAAGGGGTTTAAGAAGCACAAACTTCCAGTTATAAAACAAGTAAGTCACGGGATATAAAGTATAGCATAGAGAATATAGTCAGTAATATTGTATTCATGGTGACAAATGGTAACTAGACTCATTATAGTGATAGTTTTTTAATGTATGTAAAATATAAAATTACCATGTTATATACCTAAAATTAATACTGTATGTCAAGTCTTCAATTTAAAAAGGTTCTAATTAAAAAATACTGAAAGGCTTTGACATGAAAGAAAATCATAGACTTGAACTTAATAAACATGTGTATACTCTTGAAATAAAAAATTGGTTACTCAATAATTTTCCTCTATACGTACATCCCTTTACTATTTGTATAAAGTATGGTGACTTCTCAATAGGTCAGGTATAGCCATATTCAAATATTAAACACAAAGTGCATTCTAAAGGCCAGTAATACTTTCAAGTTTGTCTGAGCACTGTTCACTCTATAAAATCCAATATAAATATAAATGTATGTAAAATGTTTTCATATTTAAGAAAATTACAAATCAACTACTTCACTACAAGATTTTCTTAATTAAAAAAACATTATCATGGCATAATTTGAAATAAATTATTTGAATTCTCAATTTTTTTAATAGTTATTAGCATTGTGCCTGTTGGATTGACAGATGAGGAGAGAGGGTACAAGATACCTTCAGGACTTCCTTTAAGGAATTTAAGCATTAATGGGGAACTTAGAAAAGTAAATCCATAAATAAAGTCTTTAAAAAAGTTTTTTAATGTATGTTTATTTTGGAGTGAGCGAGTGAGAGAGAGAGAGTGAGATTGTGAGCTGGGGAGGGGCAGAGAGAGACACACACAGAATCAATCAGAGGCAGGCTCCAGGCTCCAAGCTGTCAGCACAGAACCCGACGTGGGGCTCGAACCCACGAACTGTGAGATCATGACCCGAGTTGAAATCAGACACCTGACCAACTGAGCCACCCAGGCGCCCCACTTTTCAATAAAGTCTTAATAGAGTGCTATGATTAGGGTCTATAGAACTCAGGAGGGACAGTCAAATGCCTGAGGAGTGAATACTCACATCAATTTTAATCCATATATTCAGTAGATTGCTTGTTTTTGAACCTAATGCCACTTGGTGAAAAATTATAAGATAAGGTGACCTTAAGATTTTACATATTATTTTTCCTAAATGCATTGTGAAAATTTTTATTCCCAGATAGTATGAAGGAATACAGCAAAGAATGAAACAGGAAAATGAAAACAGTGCATTTAGCTACTTGCTTTCCTATGATTTGGTACATTTAAAATACTTAGAGTTTATCAAGTTATTATTTTTTGCCAGACAATATGATGAGAGCATTTCCTATCTCAAGTAATCCTCTCAAGCTATTAAAATACAACTCTAACCTATTAAGGTACGATTGCTATGCTCATGTTTTAGATGTGGAACCTAGGGTTTACAGTGGCCAAAAAACTTGCCCAAAGCCATAAAGCCAGGAGCTAAGCTTTTAAGAACTGTAAACAGATCTCTTAGGGTGTGAGGAAAATCCATAAAGCATAGGGGATCCGCAAGATTGGGGACTTTGATGGAAACAAGGGCTGGCATGCACGCTCAGTTATCCATTCTTACTGTACTTGTGGCCACAGATCATTGAAGAGACTGGCTGGTTTGACACATTACTTTGCACACATAAGCCTCTCAAATCATTCCGGCCTCTGAGTATCCAAAAGTGTCACCAAGTAGTGAAGGCAAATTATATAATTATGCATCCAATTATTTTACATCAAGGTATTCAATATATATCATCACATATAACACTAATGCATTTGCTGTTATATTCATAACCTGAACTTCTAATGTTGGGGCACCTGGGTGGCTCAGTTGTTTAAGGGTTTGACCTCAGTTCAGGTCATGATCTTGCCGTTCATGAGTTCCAGCCCCACATGGGGCTCTGTGCTGACAGCTCAGAGCTTGGAGCCTGCTTCAGATTCTTCTCTCTCTGTATCTCCCCCATTCACACTCTCTCTCTCCAAAATAAGTAAACATTAAAAAATTTTTAAACAGGGCTTGTGACTATTTTTATGATGGCATGAAATTCCACAAATATTCTTTGAAATCCACATACTCAATTTATGGCTTCTTTCTATTATAAAACTTTAGGTATTACTAATGTACTTAGACTTCATTATATTAAACAATATATTAGTATTTCAGTATGAGCAAAAGGTCTATGCCTTAAACTGAACCAAGCATCTGTTAAACTCAATTGCTGTTTATGTGGAAATCAGTCGATTACGTAAAAGTCGCTTGCCAAAGCAGATTAAAGAACATAATTCCATGTTTGAAGGAGACCCTAGGACTATAGTTCAAAAAACTTGTTTAAATGTTTTATATCTTTCTTAAAATGTCTATTTATTTTGAGAGGGAGAGAAAGTGCAAGGAGGCAAGGGGTAGAGAGGGAGAGAGAGAATCCCAAGCAGGCTTTGCACCGCCAACACAGAGCCCAGTGTGGGGCTGGAGATCATGGACTGTGAGATTATGATCCGAACCGAAACGAAGAGTAGGACACTTAACCAACTGAGCCACTCAGGTGCCTCTTGAATTCAAATTTTTTAAAAGTCTAATCTAAAAACTATTCAATAACATCAGATGTATTGTCTAAAAAGTAGTTCTATCTAATTCATTCTTGCGATGCTCTTTAACTTACATAAATGATAAAAACATCATTCTTGGACTTAGTGGGAAAATATGTTCTAATTTTTTTAAGGCTTTAAGGAAGTGTTTTTAGAAACAGTGTAGTATACATAACTAAAATTACTAATATTTTCTAGAGATTCAGGGGAGTTAACTTGTAAGAATGAAACACTGCTGACATTTAATATCATTTGAATGTACTTTTTAAAAAGCGATAAGCTACCATTATTAAAAAGTTCATTCTCTACAGTGTATTCCTCATTTTCTTTCTACAGAACAAAAATTTATGCCCCAGAGGAAAAAAATTGCAAAGGTATACACACGCATGATGAAGAGGTTTGACTGTATTACATTTTCTCTTTATTTTTGAAAAATATTTATTTATTTTTGAGAGAGACAGACAGAGTACAAGCAGGGGAGGGGCAGAGAGAGAGAGGGAGACACAAAATCTGAAGCAGGCTCCAGGCTCCAAGCTGTCAGCACAGAGTCCGATGCAGGGCTCAAACTCACAAACTGTGAGATCATGCCCTGAGCCAAAGTCAGGTATGCTCAACCGACTGAGCCACTCAGGCACTCCTATTACATTTTCTTTTTAAAATGAAGACGTTTCAAAGGTAGATAAAGCTTTGAATTTGGAGAAGTAATTGAAGTAAACGTAAGAGACCATCACGAGTATGTTTTTACAAAGGCCCAATACAGGTGTGACTGTTCCCAGGGCAATGATTAAACTAAGTCTAACAATAACAAAGGGTAAGTCTTGGAGAAAGATGCCCAGGGAATTGTGAAGAGGGTTCTGAGGCGTTAATATTATCCGAAGAAGAGAAATAAAACTAAATATGTAGACTGGGTACAGCCAGCCTGACTTATACACAGCAGGGTGGCCAGCCACGCGCACCATTTCTATGGTGTCAGACCACAGCACAAAGCTCCAGAGAATGATCTGGGCACGATGATCCTGCTGGGACATGGCTCCCAGGACCCCCGAGTGGAAGGAGGGTTCCTGGGGTTCTTCCAGGACTGGAGAAGGGTTCTGTGTGCTTTCCGCCGACGGCTGTGATGCCTCGGTCCTCCTGGCTGGCTGCGGAAATGAAGTATTTTCTTCCTGTTGCTTTACTTGGTCTGTCACCGTTTTGACTTGGTGCAAAGTAGTTGTATGAATATGCCTGTCTTCATTACCTGGAATAAATTAATTGATTCACGACAAGTGAAACATTTTTTGACATGGTGTATCAATGAAAATTGTGTTTCGATTTTAGGTAAATTTTAAAATTTCAGCTTTTTAGTTAAAGTTAAAACAAGAGAAAATTGGGAGCATTTTATTTTCGAGGTCTGTTTTACACATGGAACTTCAGATAACAGAGAATATCATACTGACCCCCCCCCCACAAAAAAAAAAACAGATGTAGAGGTTCTTTATGCTTTTGTAGTTTTCTAGATATGGATCCCAAGTCATTTTTACCATTTCACAGTACCAGCCATTTCTGGTTACTGAGGTAAGCACTTTCACATAATCTCATTTAATCCTCAGAAAAAAGTTGAGAGATAGACAGGACTATCCCATTTTATAAATATAGAAACTATAGCCCAAGAGGTGAAATGACACCGCAATTCTAATACACAGTAATGCGCGGAGCTGAAATCCACACCCAGATTTGTTTAACCCCGATTGACAACCTCTTAACTTTATGGCTGCTATTACCTGCCTAGAGGTAAAGCATCATGTGCTAATTATAAAACACACAAATACAATAAAATCAAAGTCCAATGGTCCAAAGTTGTCATTTTTTATAAGAAGTCCACAGGGATCAATACAACTCAGATGTTTGGGCTTGGAGTTTGGTGCTAAGAGGGAATCTGGTTGACCAATCAATGTTTTAGTGAAGGGAGCCACTCTGAACCTCAGATTTTTTAAAAAAAAATTTCTTACTCTTTACTTTTGAGAGAGAAAGACAGCGCGAACAGGGGAGGGGCAGAGTGAGAGGGAAACACAGAATCTGAAGCAGGCTCCAGGCTCTGAGCTAGCTGTCAGCACAGAGCCCAACACGGGGTTTGAACTCATGAACCATGAGATTGTGACCTGAGCCGTAGTCAGACACTTAACCGACTGAGCCGCCCAGGCACCTGTGAATCCCAGATTTTTTAAGCTGTTCTTTCCCCCAAAGTTTTTGAACCAGTCAGCTCAATTGGTTAGGCTAATGCAATTGGTATATGCCACAAGGCTAGGCCTGATCAACGCCACAGTCATTTGAATAAGCAGGATATTTTCTCATGAGTATCACATTGTGTGTGTGTGTGTGCATGTGTATGTGTGTGTGTGCGCACATGGGTGACGAGGTTGGGGAATTATGAAGGGATCCTCCGATCTCAAGACTTACTACCAGTACTGATGGTATAGTTCTTAGACATGAAAAGTATAGCACGCTATTTTTCAAACACTTATCTAGTTCAACACCATTGTTTTTTCTAAGAATTTATCTGGTCTTAAGTGAAGTTTACTCTGCCAACATGCTGAGCTGTCATATTACTTGATAAGACAAAACTTAAAGGGCTCCTTAGACTGCAGAGCTCTACAGTTAAAGACACGAAGTCAACAAAAACTTGTTGAACTATACTGATGTGAAACGATCATAAACATAATAATCATGATTAATGACTAATAAAATATTTGATTAAGTAGGTGTTGTTTAAAGGACAAACGTCGGTTTTCTTTGTATATACTTAACTACTTTAAAATTTTAAGTGTGAATTGAGTAAACTGATAAACTAAAAAGAATCTAAATTCTTGATAAAATAGGATTTACTTTTTTAAAATATTTATTCATTTTTGAGAAACAGGGAGAGACAGAGTGTGAGGGGGGGAGGGGCAGAGAGAGAGGGAGACACACAATCCGAAGCAGGTTCCAGGCTCTGAGATGTCAGCACAGAGTGACGCGGGGCCCGAAGCCATAAACTGTGTGATCATGACCTGAGCCGAAATCAGACACCTAGCTGACTGAGCCACCCAGGAAACCCGATTTACTTCTGATAGGAATCATTTATAAATAAGTGGTGGGGCCCTTACAAACTTCCTTATCAACCTTAGATGCACAGTAGCATGAAGGAGTATCACTTTAATAAATAATAGTTAAGTAAGAAAGAAAATAATACACTAATTACTATTATTTTAATATTCCTAAAATTTGGGTGGCTCAGTTGGTTAAGTCCCAACTGCAGCTTAGCTCATGATCTCACGGTTTGAGTTCGAGCCTCATGTCGGGGTGTGTGCTGACAGCTCAGAGCCTAGAGCCTGCTTTGGATTCTGTGTCTCCTTCTCTCTTCTCTCAAAGATAAATAAATGTAAAAAAAATATTCCTAAATTTATCTTTTTTAAAACCCAGATGCTCACTGGCATCAATTATATCTCTCACTTTACGAAAGAAAAAAAAATAAACATGGAAATTATGTTTCTTAGAGTATGTCATGTCCCAGAGAGCACTCCTTCACCTGTCTCCATACATAAAACTGTTTGAATGGAAATCCAAATTCCTTTTGTCAACATAAATAATGCAGTGTATAATTTGGGCTTCTGAGGATGACTGCAAATTCAGCACTCTATCAATGCCAGGAAGTGGCGATGTTAGAAGTGACACATGAACATTGTGAAATAGTTAGTAAGAATCTTAATAGCTGTGGATAAGAGCCATGGGATGAACAATAAATTCTTAGCAAGAGTTCATTTTTTTTAAATTCTTTTTTCATTCATTCTGAGAGGGAGAAAGAGGGGCAGAGAGAGAGGGAGACGGAATCCCAAGCAGGCTCTGCACTGTCAGCGCAGAACCTTACGCGGGGCTTGAACCCATGAACCCATCATGGCCCAAGCCGAAATCAAGAGTCAGGTGCTCAACTGACTGAGAGGCACTTCGAAAGTTTATTTCTAAAAACATTTTGAGGTCTCAATCCATGTATATTTGGCGGAATTGGACTGGGAGCTTCATATCTCTCCAAACTCAACAGAGACTATATTTAGAGGTACAGGGACTCGGCTGTGCTGTTTCCACAGGGCAACAACTGTAACTGTCCTTTGGAGAGCTCTGCTGGCCTCCCAGAAGGCAAGGCAGTGTCGAAGAAGCCAAGAAATTGTTTGCTCATGACAGCAGACCTACCAGTTTACCCCTGAGCAATGTAAACTTCCGTGTACCCAATACTATTCCCTTTGGTTCAGGGATTAGATTCCCTCCAAATGACTATTTTTTAAATTTCTACTTACAGCTAGAATTCTTCTGTTGTTGTTAGTATTCTGCTGTGGGTAAAACGATACATATTTATGCAAAACCCATAAAGGATAGAAGCATGAAGAAAGAGATGGACTCAGTTTCTTAGAGGCTGATATTTCCCTGTAAAAAGTGAAAGTGGCAGCCATTCTGTGTCATTCCCTACATCCAGTGCCAGCTGCCGAAACAACTTTTTGTCTTCACTGTTCAAGCTAAATAGTTAAGGAAATGTAATTGAGATCACAATAAGTGTTTAAGTAGGTAGCTCACATTTGTTTTACTTGATTATTTCTTTACATTGATGTATTTCTATTTTTTTTTTGTTTGTTTTATTTTTGAGAGACAGAGAGAGAGAGAAAAACAGAACATGAGTGGGGGAGGGTCAGAGAGAGGGAGACACAGAATCCAAAGCAGGCTCCATGCTCTGAGCTGTCAGCACAGAGCCCGACGCGGGGCTCAAACTCACAAACTGCGAGATCACGACCTAGGCCAAAGTCGGACACTTAACCGAATGAGCCACCCAGGCGCCCCACCCAAAATCTACTTTTCCTGAGAGACAAGTGTCCTAGAGAAAGTGAAATGCTAATGATTTAGACATAACATTCCAAGAAAAAAAAATCCAGAAAAGAAGAAAAGTAATAATCATTACAAATATTTTAAAGCATATTAAGCAAAGTACTTTTAGTCATAATCTTGGGGATGATGGGAAAAAATGTAATAAAATACAAACAAGGCACTTATATACATCATTATTTTGACACTATCTATTGACTAAACTCAGCTGTATCATAAATAGTTTGTTTCCTTTGCACAGCACATTGGAGGTCTGGAAGACAAGTAAGTAACCTCATGGCCAAATGATAAACGATGAAACCCAGCACCTACCTCACAGGGAGGTTATGAGGTCTGAACAAGTCAATATTCATAAAACATTTAAAATAGTGCCTGACACACAGAAACAGCCATATGTGTGTTCAATATATCAAATGTAGGGGCACCTGGGTGGCTCAGCTGGTTAAGTGCCTGACTTTGGCTCAGGTCATGATCTCGTGGTTCGTGAGTCCGAGCCCCACATTGGGCTCTGTGCTGATGGCTCAGAGCCTGGAGCCTGCTTCGGATTCTGTGTCTCCCTCTCTCTGTCCCTTCCCTGCTCATGCTTTCTCTTTCTCTCTCAAAAATAAGTAAGTGTTAATATATATATAATATCAATATATATCAATATATATATATCAAATGTAGCAATCACAAAATAATTTACTCTTTTAAATGAATTAGAATAGAAGAGAAAATAATAGAATACAGTAAGGTAAAAGTGATTATAGTTTGTTAAACTTTGATTACACTTACACTGTTACCCACTGTCCCATTCACTGGGGGGCGGTCAAAATGTCTGAGAAACCATGTCACGCTATAGAGACTTAACAAGGTCATAGGTTTAATTCACATATTTGTCTGTTCGTATCACAGCGAAAAGCACTACGTCACAGATATTTCCTGTGCAGGCGGAGGCGGCCTGCAACACCTAACGAGCCAATCGTATGCGTCTCATCCCAATTCCATAGGTTCAATGACGTTACCTTGGTAGCTTGAAAATGGTCATGTAAGGAATAATTACACCAGATAAATTGGCAAAGGGAGCAAAGCAGGGCTTCCCCCCGGGCCCCGCCCCTGAGAGACTGTTGTTTAAACACTGACCAGCCTGCTCCTGTCTGTGTTCAAAGCAGTATGCACATCTTCACCAAATAATAATTCATAATAATAATGAATTCAAGACAAATACTCAACTCATCATCAATTCTGGAAAAGTCAAGGGACTCGTCTCTAGAAAAAGCATTATACTCTTTTCCAGCACACTCAAAAACCTATTCATTGCTACTTCCCATCAGGCAAGAGAATAAATATATGTATCATTTCTGGACTTGTAGG